ACTTTAGGCCGCGCGTACGTTTTAATGGACAAATACTGTGTCCTCTCGTGAATTTTGTAGCTTTTCCGGCGTCCCACGATTTTTTATCTCTTTTTATCTCTTTACCCTGCGGTTGCACGGCTTCATGTATGGTTGAAGCAAATTCATTGGATTTCATAAAAATGTGCCTACAATTTGGTTCCCTTGATTTTGTGTTAACACGAGGTAGTCAAAACTTTTGGTTGTTGAAATTGTCATTTACCATCATTAAGTATTTAAAATCGTGATTCGACATGCATTCTATAGGAATAATATGGAATGGTGTATTAGAATATCTTTTTATTTTTTTTCTGAGAATGCTCTTTTGCGGGAACTTCAATTTCGATGAAGCATGAAGCGGCTATTTATTAAATTGAAGCCCGATTTAAGTGAAGGGTACGTCGAGCCAAGCGGTGAATGAATAAGGTTGACGGACAATCGGATCCAAACCATGATTGCGCAAGGCAGTGCCCAGAAAGGACAGCACCTCCCTAAATGAATGGCGTTCCGTTATTTCATGCGATAGCAGGTGTCGATATTGCACGAGATTATTTTTGAGACTGCTTTGTTCACTGACCAGTTCGTCATTCACGGCCACTTTCGTCTCCATTCGTGCTCCATTCATAACTGCCAAAGTGCAAGTTATCTGTTGAAATGTGCTCGTTGCTTTTATTTTAATGTCTGCTATTATATCGGAATCAATATAGGATTTTATATCATCCTGAAATACAACTTAATAACCATTGAAAGTATAAATTTAATTTAATGATTTCTACTTTCAATTATAATCGACTTTCGTTAAAATGATAAAACAAAACTTTCCATTTATGTGTACATTTTAAGCGCTAGATAAGAATTATTCTTTTTCATATAATAAAGAATTTAGCAGAATAAAGGATAGGAGATATCCAATCGATGATTCAACTCTTGCTGATGTCATCATTACCGTCGGTTACGTAACAGAGAGCTAATGGACGACCCTTTTTTTACCTCGATAGGGCGTTCGTTTCTAGCGATGATTGACGGTCTGACTTTATGCAGTGTCAGCTGTGGGACAGATGCCTTTCTATCGAGTCACAGAGCGGACAGTTTTGATCCACGGGAGTCTATTCCCTGTTGAAATTAAAGCTATTTTCCGTACCACAATTAAAAAGAAAGAAATGTAATATAAGTAAATCACAAATGAATATAAAGTAATGAGAAATTAAAGGAATGTAGATATTATTTTTGTGCCAAACCATGAAGTTATTAAATATAAAAAATGCAGTAATATATCTGAATATCTTTATAATTTAAAAAAAAAATATATTTCAACTCGTTTTCTGTAATTTTGTTTATAACAGAAAAAAATCATGTTCCTTAATGAATTCACTGATTCCCTTCCAACGTTGCATTCCGAAATAATTATCTTCAACGAAGCGTACATACATGGAAGGGAGGCTCTTCTACCGCGACGTTCGCTCTCTTGACATTCTTTCTCTGTCTACGGTCGACGACCAATAATTATGAATATCGCGATCCTCTCGTCGGTAACCCGGTTTGTGAATTCAGATACCAAAGTGCTTGCAAAGGGACCGGAAGTCAGAGGTATCATAAAATCCTTTGATCGACTAGAGTAGGTTCGAAAGGCTGGGGTTCCCTTAGCCCCGGCGATCGGGACAGTAATTGACACCACTTTCACGGCTAAACCGCTTTCCAATTTTCTCCTTATTTTCACGACGTAATAACTTACCGAGCTTGACGGAGTTTGACCGTCGCGCCACGCCGCGCCGGGCTGAAGGGAACGTGGCGGTTACCAGCCACGGGGAAGAGAGTGCATGGTTCCAGAGTGCGATGCGGCCAGTAATGGCTACGTATATATAGACTATACTTCTTTACAAGCCGGTGAGATAAGCTCTTATTGGCGACCGAAGCGTAATCACTACGGCTTCCTGAAATAACTTGAACCTTCGCCTCTTCACCCCTTTCGATTTTACCATTTGCCTTTCCTGGGTTCCTTGGCAAAGGATGGTCCGATCGAAGGGCACCGAGTAAACACGACCAAGATATCATTAATGACTCGATTCTCAATCTCCTGTCAGATGATCTCCGTGTAATTTTGATAGATCAATGGCATCACTTATTTCCGTATTCGAGTGATAGATCTTAAATGATGTAATAAGAAAATTGAATTTAAAGTTGTTATTCATCGTAATTTTAAAGCTTGTATTAATGTATAAGATGTATATTAAAGTGCTCACGTTATGTGCACGATACTATAAGTTATCTTGGAATATCAGTTGAATAAATCAATGTCAAAGTGCATTGATTATCAAAGACCTCTGTCGTTTATTCACATGAACATTGAACGGTTTTCACGAGCACACTTCCTCCAAAAATATTAGCCCTGACCGAGGATCGATTCTTTTCTCCATGCATAATTGGATAAAACGGTTCATTACACGTCTGTAACCAATTCGAGGTAATACCCGGAAAGGTAGGATAATCCAAGTCCTCGATTATTGCCGATAAATCACAATCGATATGCATTAATCGTACGAACTGGTTCAACGAATAAATGGTGGAAAGGATGAAAAGGATTTCCATACTGTGATGCTTTCAACTGTGTGTACGTATCGTCATCGATTATTCCGTAACTCAGCGTGGACAATCAACTTCTCGCATTCGAGTTCAGTAAGGAGCTTTCACATCGAGAGCTCTGTATGGAAATTCGAGCTCGCGTTTTCGAATTTTATTCATCGTCGAATTCTCGTCGAGCGTCGGTATTCTTTCATTGTTGATGGAGGTTCGAGTAGGTGTTCCGGACGCGGTGGGTGAGATTTTATATACGAGAAGAGGAAGAGTGAGTTCGCTTGGCGTTAATCGATAATCAAGCCGGCAGTTTCGTTTAAATGATCTCCGCTTTGCCGATGTTGTATTATTAAATTCGACGGTCAGAAACGTGGCCTGTATATTCCATGCAGTTTCTCCCTGTTGGCTGTTTCATGAGCCTCACTTGAAAATTCCAACGTGCTACCGACGGTTTACATATTGACGCGTTCCACTACGTGCATGTGTACACGTTGTGATATTGAGTGATTCACTTTTACGTTCTCGTTTCTCGCATCGATGCATCACTGAGATCAGCCCCTAAAACAATCCAGAACGTGATT